GATAACTATGCTTACCAATCTGAATAGGAGTTATTAAGTGTTGTACTTGACATGCCAAGGTTGTATCAGTTGGGATGGAAACCTTTGATTGAATGAGATTATTTGGTGCATCTTAGCTATTTAGGAGCATGTTGAACTATATTTTGGAATAATTCTTAATTTAGTTGGATCTATATGTTGGGATAAATTTTAATACTTTCAGATTCAACATGTGCTACATTAATAGCACGTTGGGCCTCTTTAACCACAGTAACCCCATCACTCATTGAGGACCATTGATTGCCATCATCAAGCAAATAACTCAACGCATCATTTTCTGATTCCGCCCCACGATCTTCTTTTGGTTTACGCTTGAGCCAAAATGATTTCGCCATAAAAGTAACTCTAGGCTCTTCATCGCCGGGTTCCCTATCCACAATCACACCTTCCATTTTTTCGCTCTCAGTTTCTTCATCGCCGGGTTCTTCTTCATCGAGTCCAGCTTCCACGCGCCTCATCGATAGAATCTCAGACCACCGTCCTTCAGGGAAATGGTCTCTTTTCGGCGGTGTCGACATCTTCCATGGAGAGAAGATTGACGTATTCGCGGAGAAGATCGACGCGTTGGAGCGTGAGAGATATGAATCAGAGAAAAAGACGATGACTGCGACTATGGGAGCCGAGATCGAAGACACTGAGAGCGGCGAGTCAATTCAGAAGCCGGATAGAGAGGATAAGGAAGAAGACGAGATGACGAAGGAGCTTGAGAAGCCAGCAAAAAAGCAAGAATAGAAAAGAAAAGTTTTTTTTGTAGATACACAAGTCTGGTTGTCTCATACTTCTGTGTGTAGATACCAAATTCTAACAAATTGGTATCAGAGCTATGGAGAAAAAGAGCGAGTTGGAGGTGCCACTCTTCCATGGAGATAAGGATGAAGCATTAGATTGGCTTCTCTGTTTGAAGGAATATTTTCGGAGAGAAAAAAGATTTGAAGAGGACAAATGGCAGGTAGCCATGAGAAGACTCAGAGGAAGCGCAATCAAATGGTTCCGTACATGGAACTGCCACGACTTTAATAATATGTGGAAGGATTTTCTAATGGCCTTCGTAACAAAATACTTGCCTGGACGTTTTGATTTGATTAATGAAGAAGATGAAATCTTCAATGATGATGATGAAGATGAGGAAAATGATGCGGATGAAGAAGAGACCGAGATGGCGCCGCGGAGGAGATTGACGTGTCAGAACGCGTAAGAGACGACTCGGAGAAGAAGACGATGGAGATTACTGCGGCCAAGGGAGCCGAGATAGAAGAGGAGGAGAACAAAGGAGCCGAGATAGAAGATGAGGAGAACGAAGGAGCCGAGATCGAAGCGGAGAAGGACGGGAACGACGAGTCCATTGTCGAAGTAGAAGACTTCGTGGAACCTGAGTGTCTGGAGACAGAGTCGAAAATCGGAAAGGAGATTGAGAAGCCGAGGTGCTTGATGGAGACCGACATAGACACGGTTTGGGTTGGAAGTCAGAAGTCAGAGACTGCAATGAATTTATGGTGGAAGTGGAAGATGTCGACACCACCGAAAAGAGACCATTTCCCTGAAGGACGGTGGTCTGAGATTCTATCGATGAGGCGCGTGGAAGCTAGACTCGATGAAGAAGAACCCGGCGATGAAGAAACTGAGAGCGAAAAAATGGAAGGTGTGATTGTGGATAGGGAACCCGGCGATGAGGAGCCTAGAGTTACTTTTATGGCGGAATCATTTTGGCTCAAGCGTAAACCAAAAGAAGATCGTGGGGCGGAATCAGAAAATGATGCGTTGAGTTATTTGCTTGATGATGGCAATCAATGGTCCTCAATGAATGATGGGGTTACTGTGGTTAAAGAGGCCCAACGTGCTATTAATGTAGCACATGTTGAATCTGAAAGTATTAAAATTGGCATAGGTTTTGTAAAACTAATGGGACGTTATAGTGATACAGATACTGATCAGTATGATGACTTGTGTGAAGATGATACGTGTAAGAATGGATGTGGAAGTATATTGGAGGATGAGGTCGACAGAGAAAAATTCAAGACTGTCTATCTTCCACCAATGAAGGAACCGCCGGACAAAAATAAAATAAAATTGAAGAAAGGAGTGCAACATGGAAGCAGCGCGAGAAAAATCAACCGGTGAAAAATTCAAAAAAGAAGAATTAAAATTTATGGGGGAGTTTTGTTGGGATACATTTTAAATATCCATTTTTTAGCAGTTTTGGTTATTTAGTTTCTTGTGTCAGTTAGAATATTAATGAGTCAGTTATGTCAGTTAGAATATTAATGAGTAAGTTATGTCAGTTATAAAGTAATGAGGGTGTTATGTGTGGAGTTATGTTGGTCAGTTTTATAGCTTATAAATAGCCTTTGATAGTTTGTATGAAATGTAGATCAAGAGATCAAGAGAAAAAAAGAAAGTGCAAGTAAGCAAGTTTTATAGAAAAAGCTTTCGTAAATACTTCCGTGTGGTTGTCTCTTGCATCTGTGTAGATATTCAATTCTAACACTATAGTGTTGATTAACACTTATCTAGAATGATCGCTAAACGACAAGCTAATCGTAAATGAGAGAGATACGTGAACCCTGGTTGTTTTTAATATTTTATATCCATTTTGCAAATAAAAGGCACCTTAGGCGCTAGAAAATGTCCTTTGCTTCTACAAACCCGGTAAGAGTATGAACTGTATTGTTTGGGGTTGAGTCTGGGTGTGGCCTAATGCAGCTTATTGTTTGCTACGTAATTGAATCGCAGATTTATAGTAGACAAATTGTGAGACTGGGTTTCGTATTTGTGTGTGTTGTGTTTGAGGTCATTACCCTTACTGCAGCACTAATTGAATATACAATACAGGACGTTACCTCTAATTTGATCACTATAAGTTCACCAGAACAAAATTAGTACCAAGAAGGATATATTAGTTTACATTGTATGACTTGCTAATTAGCAATCCATTTATTTTTGAATCAATGTCAGTACTCTGATTTGGTTTGACCTTAAGCATACTAATCTTGGATCAGTGCTATCAATTTTTGATTTCTTAAAACGCGGTTAATGTTGCTGCTCTATTAAATTGATACAATCCATGTATGTTATATCTTGAACTATATGCACATTACAACCTATCTGGTGACACTATAATACTAAATTACTCGAGAAATTCAATATTTCCTACTCGAAGAAAATCTGTTTTGCTACATCAAGTAAGACACTTTGGGACAACTGAGTGTGTGATCTTAATATTATTCTCGCTAAAATATACAAGATAGAATTGAGTAATTCTAGTTATTGATAATTAAGTGATTGATCTTTGGATTGAAATGAACCCTTTATTTTCTTAACAATCACCTGTTGTGCACATTTTCCTAGACTACTTGAGTAAACAAAATTTAGGATACCCTAGTAAGCACTTTAAGTTTGGCTGATCACCTTAATTGGTTTTAAATCTGTCCCCAACGTTAATTCAGGTAATTTAGGTTCTAAATCAGGTTTGCAGGGGCTTGATACTTAGCTTGCACTCATTTTTGGTATCATGAATTATTGATTTAAAACTAATGATCTGGTTCCATCTACTTATAGTGATTTATGGTATCCAATTTGTTGAGTGTGGTATTCTATCTAGTAGCTGTAAGTGTTCTCCCTATTTGTAGATAAAGTATGTCATATTGCATCCGTGCATCAGTGAATAAGTATGACTTCATAAAATGGGTCGTGACTGTGAGAAAATTTTTGGTTATCCTAAAATGTTAAATATTTAGTTTAATTGTTTTGAGAGACCTTGGTGGTCGAGACATGGATCTGGGAATCATGCCAGCCCTGTTCCTTATAATAGCTAGAAGTTATTAACCAGGTTTTGGTGTGAACTAATACATTGGAGTAAAATCTATGAGCAGGGTTTATATACTATGATGAATGTTATTCCATGCAATCGATCCATAGCTGAATTAATGCTTGTAGGGGCTGTATTGGGTGAAATGTATGATATTGATTTCCGTGTATTGGTGAAGAAGTATTTGATGGATTGGTTGCATGAAACAAATTCCGTTTAAATTACTACTATGTATAACTGTTTTTGGTGGAATTAAGTGCTGAATATTTGTAGTTGATGTACTATTTTGGAGAATGGTGTATTTACATTCGGGTTATGCTTAGTTGTAGACATTGTTATGGGATGTGCTTTATGCTTCTGTATGGAACTTATATAACCATGTAAATTATGATGAAGTGGACGAAACTTTAACAAGTAAACATGTTAGGTTTTTGTAAAGTCTGATTTGATTGACTAAAAATAGATAGGATGATGATGGTTAATTGTTATAAATTGATGCAGCTCTTCACATTAAGCTAGGTCCCTTTATTATCATATTAATCAAATCTTAAACTAGTGCAGGTGTTCCATTAATGTTTTCCTAGCTACGTATCTCGAATTAACCTTATGGGTATGTGAGGAAGTTTGGGGACAAACTTCGAAACAAGGTGGGGAGAGTGTAACATCCCGTTAATTTAGGAAATTATATAAACTGTAGTTAGGAACATAAAAGCTTACATTGAACTCGATATATATGTATATAATCATTTGGGATGGACTTAATTTAATTTATGAAAATAATGTTAATTATAATTTTGGTTGAGTGTGTGCTTTAGGAAATTGAAACACTAGTTAAGAGGATAGGATTAGCTTAATCATATATATAAAATTTAATTAATACTTAGAAGGAGTAGGGAATTAGCAAATACATGAACCATGGATCATGAAGAAAGAAAGTTGGGCCCAATTGTCCTTAGGGTTCGGCCCAAAGACCTTGAGGAAAGGTTTGAGATAGCCCAAAAGCTTACATCATACCCCTTAATTTATCGTAAGAAGATCTGGATGCATGACTCCTTATTGGCCCACTCCAACTGCATGTATTCCCATTGGTGGGAAACCACTCACTTATCCTCACCACTCCACTCTAGAGCGTTCATAAGAGAGACATAGGCTGATGTGTTGGCAAATAATTCAGAACACTAAGTAATTCAGAACACTAATTAACCGTTGATTTTCTCTTCCCTCTCAGCACCTCTCATTAACAACATCAATTCAGAAACCGTAAATTCAGAGAATCAGAATATCATTCTATCTTCATCTCACTCTTTTCCCCCACCGTGTGGTTAGTGGTGGAGCGCAAAGCTGAGAGCTCATACTTGAACTAAACTCAGCCTCATCTCAGTTTGCCTCTTTCTCTCTATGCGTGTGATTGTGGAACCTCAAGCTGTGTGCTTGTTACCATCATTTTCCTATACGTCAACCTTAGGAGAAGAGCAACGAGAAACAAAATTCCCATCATATACACTGACTTCCCTTTTATTCAAGCCGTGAGCTTTCCTAAGGTAATAACCCAACCTCCAAGCTTTCCTTCTCCCTTCCTGCATCACTCGGCTGAGTTACAACCAGAGGAGTTTGCTGCTCCCTGGTGTTTGGCCTAGACCTCTCATTTAAGGAGCTGAAACGGACCCCTTGGAAGCTCGAGGAAGAAGGACTGCCTTGAGCGATTGGTGGCTGTTAGTAATTAAATTAACTATATGCTTTAGACTCCTAATGGACGCACCTTAGAGAGTTATGGGGAGAATTGCAAATAAATATTATGGGGCTATTTTGGGTGTTAAAAATCGAATGAGATTCATGGAAGAACCTTGGATTTTCTTTAATGTAGCAAGTTAGAAGGTGATGTAAAATCAGAAAATTAAATAGCATATGTAATTGGAAATGCGGGTAAATACAAAAGTTAAGGAGCATTGACATTAATGGTAAATTATAGGAATGAGAGTTTGAAATTCTGTTTTTGGGCTTTGCTTGCGTAGGTGCTCGTAACCCTTATTGTGTGGGCTGAATTTTGGTGCCGATTGATTATTGTTTGGACATAAGGTATGTGTTAGGCGGTATTACCTGATGTGACTATTGACCAGTGTATAAATTGTGAATTGTTGCTCACATGTGCCTTATGATTATTCTGCCATAAATGATGAAATTATTCTGCCTATAGAAATTCTGTTATGAAAAGAAAGAATGGCTTGGCAGTATGGCATCCAATGTACATGAAGTATATGTTATGAAATGATGATATATGCATGCACCGTACATCATACTGCACTTGTCCTTCTGTTTGTGTGTGACAGCATAGCATGGCATGCATGTACCAAATTCATGTTAGTCTTGAGTCTTAGAATAGTTATCTACAGGATCATGTGATTGAGCACGCATCATATAGGCATCCCTCGGTACCAGGGTATGGGACACTTGGCATCCGTCTGCATAGGTCACAGTGGGATTCAATAAATGAGGGTGTCGTTGCATGGAATTCCCACTGTGTATGCACGCGCACGACGGTGCTATGAGCGTGATGAAGGCATTATATATGCAATATGATATATGATGAAAATGATATGTGATGAAAAGGTTATATGATGAAAAGGATTTCATGTTTGAAGCGACTGTTTATATTTTGTGACTAGTTTAATACTGTTGCGTTATTGGTTTTGTTGCCACACTACTGGGATTTTTCTCACCCCTTTGGGGCTGCTATTTTTAGAAAATGGCAGGAGGACGTAAAAGCTTTTGAGGACTTGGATATTTGCTGTTGGCTTCTACTGTTTTGGGCATGCTGCTATTGATGTGATATTTTATGAATGACTGTATGAAATTGAGAAGCGTTTATTACTGCGAACTATGATTTTATTATTGCATTACGATTTTATTACCAGCAAGTATTTTGGAAACAGATGTTGAAACGTTTGCGAAAAGTATTTTGACATGTTATCTAAATGCTGAGTTTTGAAAAGTCTTTGCGAGCACTTTGTAAGTTGTTGTACTAGGGCTACGGACCACCGATTTTCTTATAAGTTATATGCACGCGTAGCCCTAGGTGTCTAGTTTCATTATATATAAACCTTGCAAAGAAATTCTGAAAGCTCAATTTTAAGTTATTATGAATTTTACCAGCCAGGACGTTTGTGATTGTTTCACTGTTTTATCTCTTATTTTGCGAGTTATGTTTCAAGGGGAAAACGAACTCCAAATCACTATTATTTTATATGAACGTGAAGCCCCAGATGTTTAGTTTCCAGATTACAAAGAATATTTTTTTGAATCGTTGAACTGGATTTTATACGAATTTTTAAAGACAACAAGGTTTATCAGGAAATTTATATTTTTAGTAAGTTTAAGAAATTTTGAAAGTAACTCTGATTTTTTTGTAACGAACCTAATTTCAATTATAAGTTTTAAGTTGCAACATCAAAATGAATTTTTTTCAGTCTCTAAAATACTATTAAAGAACTCTAATTCCGCTTAGCAAACAACTTTCTTGGAGGCCTACAAGAGAGGGTGTTACAGAAAGGTGGTCAGCATGCATGAAATCCTATTGGTTTGAAATCACACCTCTTCTTATCCTCTCTTTCATATTGTGCGCATGGTGGGGAGTAAAGCCAAGTATATTCTAATCTTGGTAGCATTTCAATCAGCTTTCAAACCTCTATTTTCTTCTTCTCTAGGCGACGTGTGAGTGAAGCTGTAAGCTAGATGTTTATCTTTTGAATTAGAAACAAAAACTTGGCCCTCTCATTCCCTCTTGACCGTGAGCACCTCTTGAGAGAAATACAAAGAAAGGCCACAAAAACTTTACAGCACTCTCATTCCCTTTTTTCCCTAGAAACCGTGGACCTCAAAGGGGAAGAACACCAAGAAATTGTATTCCATTTTCTCTTCCCTTAAGCCGCGAGCTCCATGAGTAGGGAGCTAAAATAATTAAGCACCTTCTCCTTCCTTCCTTGTTCAGCTGAAGGTCCAGCTCAAGAAGGTGAACTATTTTCCCTCTCCTTGTCTATCTCAACACAAATCGGTACTCATTGAGGGTTTTACTTTTTGCATGTGTATGATTTTTCCTTGATTGGATCCTTTCCCACATTGCATGTAGCTGAAATCGATTTCTTGGAGCATTGGATGATGGAGGTTGATGTTCCGTAAATGAATTGCTAGTTGTGTGTACTTGCATAGAGGTAACGTCCAAACCTCAAGCTTCTCCTCCCCCTCTCTGTTGCGGTTTACATGTGGATTTTAGAGGAATTATTGTCTTGTCATTCCTACTCCTTGCCCTAATAATTCTGTCCCTTCGAGCCGCTCTAGGACTTGATGCATGTAGGCTAAAAAACTAAACTTACAGGTGTATTTTAAGGGGTAGCTTTTTGTCATTTTCATTCCCTTGTTTTTGCCATGTTTGAACCGATTGGGTTTTGTGGTTACACGCACAAAGAATCATTTTTTTTTAGCTTGGAATATAGTCTCCCTTGTTGGACATTCTGTTTTGTGGAAATAGGAGGAGGTAGCTAGTGTTGCATGTGTCAAATTCAACTAGATAGCATGTGTAAAGGCCCTTTTAACGCACACTAGGCTTAGTGGAGTCGACTATTTACCTGAAATTTTGAATATCCTTTTATGCTAAGAAAACCGAACCTGTACATGTATGAGACCATGAATTTTTTTACTATTACATGTCGGTAAATTAAAATAGAGTCAGAAATTGGTATAGTGTGAAAATCTTGGTAATCAGATTAAAAATCAAGGGTTAGGAGGCATGGAAATTGCTTGTAAATCATAGGATAGCTTGAATAAAAATTCTGACTTGTGGTGCACTTGTATAGGTGCGCAAAACTCTAAGTGAGTAGGCTAGATTATTGTGATTCAATTGGTTAAAAAGTTGGACATATTCAAGGTAAGTGTTTGGTGGCGAAGCCTATTGTGACTATTAGCTAGTGCATACAATTTGAACGGTTTCTCACATGTGCCTTTGGATTCGTATTCTGTTAAATATTAATTATAATCTGCCCTTGGACTTGACGTAATGGAAATTCTGTTTTGGAAGTGTTTTTTATTCGAGATGTTGGTATTAAAAATCCATGATAAACATGGTCCTCTGATTCTGATACTCAGTCATGATCATGAATATCATAAAACTGCATTTCTCATGCGTGTGTGAAGCCAAACATGTCATAGCATACAACATTATGCATTCAGTTTGGAAACTGAAGTATATAATAAAAGTAAGCATATGTTTGAGCACGCATCATATAGGCATCCCTCAGGTACCAGGGAACGGAACCGTGGCTCAGTTCGCATAGGTCGCAGTTGGAATTCCTCTCTGATGGGCCAAATGGAATATTCACTGTGTTAGTTAGTAGTACGTGCACTGCAGTGTTATAAACGTACATTACTCTGGCGTTATATACACATTCTGATTAGTACTCTGGCGGTATATACGCATTCTGATTAGTACTCTGGCATTATATACACACTCTGATTATATGTTAGCATATGTTCTGAATTATTTGTTGATGCGACTGTTTTGAAATTCTGTATCTAGTCTAATATCGTTGCATTATTGGTTTTGCTATCACACTATTGGGATTTCTCTCACCCCTTTTGGGGCTCAATTTTTATAAATTGCAGGGAAACATAGAAGCATTGATGAAGTATTTGATTTGGACATATTCTATTAGACTGTTGTTGTTTTGGGAATTCTACTGTTTGTCTGCTATTTCTGTTGGATGTTGGCTGATCATTTTTGTTGATGTAATATTTTGAGATATCAGAAAAATGTTAGGTCATGTCCTAATTGGCAGTATTCTGAATTTTATGGTCAGCATGTAATTTGTAAAATTTCTGGTACTCTTTTGCGAAAATCATTCCTATACGTTTTAAATCCTGAATTTTAAACTGATTTAACGAGCACTTTACGAGTTCTGTTTCTGGGGCTACAGACCTCCGTTTTACATGTAATTTATATGCACGTAAAGCCCCATATGTCTTCTGATTATATAAACTTCATGTCAAAATTTTGAAAGCTCGATTATATATGATTTTTGCAAGACAGACATGTTTTCTTGAAAAATAACAAATTCAGCATGCAATGTATTTTACCAAATATTCCACTGTGTTCATGTACAATCAGATTTCAATTCAAGATTTTAAATTGTGACTTAACAATGCAGTTCAGTATTTAATTCGTTGACGTTTCGACTCTAATCCGCTTAGCAAACATCTCCCTTGGATGCGTACAGGGGAGGATGTCACACTAAATGGTATCAGAGCAGTTTTGATTCAAGGTGTCGTATTTGATGAAATATTTGTTGTTTGTACTTGGTTGCTGAATTGTTGTTATTTGAATATATTGGCTGTTTGTATATGTTCGTTGAATGGTTGTTGTTTGAATATAGTTGTCGAATGGGTACTAGCTAAAATTGCCTTGTACTTTGAGGTGCGACGGTACTGGCAGAACTCGATGTTAAGCATGGCTGTGCACACCTCAATGCTAGGAGGTGAGCCTGATCAACTCACTGACGCGTAAGGTGTGTGTACTATGGTGATCACCGGGTATACTTATGCCTAAGCACTATGTGTGAAATCTTAAACTGCTACTTGCATTAATAGTTAATTATCAATTCTGTTCTCTATGGATTATATAGAAGGTTATAGGTATTTATATGCTTGAGGTGATGTTTAAAGAGTGATGCCTTGAGCCGTAAATAATAATTGCTGGTACATTTTTTTTTTGAGATTCATAACATTTTCTTGTATGTTGGGATTGTGTTATATTGCTGGATAATAGAAACAATTGTTCTTTCTCACTAATTCCGTTAGGTTCCACAACTGAGTAAGAGTAGCGGTGATATAATCCTGATAATTGATGTAGTTAACTAGCATTATGAAGGACTTGTTATTTGACCTTAAAATTGTACGGAGACAAATTTATGTAGGGATAGATCACTTATCTAAGTAGATCCAGTTAAGGCCCCTAGAAAGTAGAATTGGGGTTAATTAAGACTCAAATAAGTGGGTCCGATGTCCTTACAAATTTTCTAATGGTGAATTGGCATTAGCCATCACTCTCGATAAAGAAGATGTGAAACAAAGTGGTGATGTGTGAAGAAGGGTACTTGACTCCTACCTCCCTGTTCTTCATGTGAGTGATATTTGTCGTGCTAATTCATACGTATTGGATTAATTTGTATAATTTTGACCGCTTTTAGATTTGCATTTAGCTTATTGTCTCTGGTGATATCAACAATTGTTATATGGTGACTTTTTGAAATTGTCAGTCTAGATCTTTAAAACTATATTGGAACTGATTGTATATATAAAGAAAGGTTATTTTGATTGGTTTTAGAATGTAGTGGATTGAACAGGTAAATTGTGATTACATTGAGCTACACCTTATTCAGCTTGCATTACTATATTGACAAATTGACACTTTACTAAAATTACCACTCTAGTAAGCATCAGAAGGTTTTAACCGGTCTACTATAAATTTTGTTTAATAGTGTACGGGTATTGATAACTGCATTAATGATATAATTGGACTGAATAGAGATATTGGAAATTGACTGTTTATAAGCTTTGACTGTTATAAGTTCATACCTTTTAGTTTCATTAAATTGTGGGTTCAGAAATTTGATATCTGCAGATACATAGGATCTTAGGTTTGGTTTACTTTATGAATACTGTGACACCCTCCCCTGTACGCGTCCAAGTGAGTTGTCTGCTAAGCGGTTTAGAGTCGAATTGTTAACGAGTAAAAATTCATGTTCAGTAAAAACTTTTTCATATTACCAAATTATAAAAGCTTGCCTAGAAAACTGACTTTGAAAAGTAAAAACAGCAAATATATTTTTAAAAGGCTTTCGCTGTGCAACTCTGATTTTCCTGAAAATAGCCTGTTTTGCAAAAATAATGTAAATTCGAAATCAACAATTTAAAAAATATTATTTGATATATAGAAACTAGACATCTGGGGCTTCGCGTACATATAAATTATACGCGAATCGGAGGTGAATAGCCCTACGAAACAGAACTCGTAATGTACTCAAAATTCATTGTATTTTTCCAAAAACCTCCTGACTTGTAAAAATCAGAATAAATCGGGATTTCAGAATTTCATTGTAACGTTTATATAATTAGAAAGTAAACAACTGGGGCTTTACATCCATATAAAATGTACCTCAATCAGAGGTTTGTAGCCCCAGAACGACAACTCGCAAAGTGCTCACAAAAACAATTCAAAATTCCGAATTTTTAAAATACAGCAGAATCATTTTCGCAAACTAAATACAAAACATATAAAAGTCATGCTACGTTTCTTTTCAAAACAAAATATACATCATGGCTATGCTTCTTTACAAAACAGAATATACATCATGGAATGCCATTCTTTAAGAAAATACAACAAGGTCAAATAATCAAAATACAATCAGCAGAAACAGTGAGCAAACAGCAAGGTTGCCTACAACATAACTCAAATAGATTTATTCATGTGATCATGTCATCAAACACTTCCTTAATTTCTTCTAAGTCCTCCTGCAATTTATAAAAATTGAGTCCCCGAAGGGGTGAGAAAAATCCCAATAGTGTGATAGAAAAACCAATAATGCAACAGTATTAAACTAGGCACAAAATTCCAAAACAGTCGCATCAACATTTAAAATTCCATACAGCTATTAATCATCATCTTATTGCGCATATAACGCCATGGTCATGTATATTCATAATAGTCATAATAGTGCGTATATAACGTCATTTCCTTGTTAGTGCGTATATAATGTCATCATTACGCTCATAGCACCGTCGTGCGTGTACTAACATACACAATGGATATTCCTTAATGGCTCCCATCAAAGGTGAATTCCAACTATGGCCTATGCGGACTGAAGCCAAGTGTCCCATACCCTGGTACCGAAGGGATGCCTATATAATGCGTGCTCAAACGTATGCATATTTATATTCTAATCCATGAACAGCATGAAATTCGTGCATGTATGCCATGATATGCTTCACACACAAACAAGAAACAAATGAATTATGAGGTGTATATGCATGACTTGATCATCATCATAATAGCATATATTTCATGTACTTTCCGTACCAAGCTGCCACATAAAAATTACTTCTCATGCAGAATTTTCCATCTTGTCACATTCATAGGTAGCATACATATCACATATGACAACACATTAATCCAAGGCACATGTGAGCAACAATTCACAATTCTATACACTAGCTAATAGTCACATTAGGTAATACCACCAAACACTTACCTTGAGTCTTTACCCTTTAACCAATACATATAGGTATCTCAAATTCCATTCAGTCCTCTTGATGTTGGTGACCCTAGACAAAAAGATACCAAGGTAAATCAAAATTCTAATTCTTTCTTACAATAACTCGCATGAATTTTCTATGCTTCCTAACTCGCTGGTTTAATCGGATTTGGTGATTTTATTTCAATGCATAATTGCTTCTGACTAAATCTTTTAATTTACCAAGGTTAACAAATGACATAAATATAATTCTCTATGCAATTTAATTCGGTTGTCATGCCCGTCAATTGATGCTACAGTTTATTATTTTACACAGCAAGTCCTACAAGCATATGAGTCTGCTCGTGAGGCCTTCATGATCATTATATTAAACTAATATTCTGGCCTCATATTAATCTGTCCACTTGTTAACAGTACTAGAATCTAAGGTTTCCTATGCCTACCAATTCGGTTTGCAAACATCCACAAGGTGCATCAAATTCTCATTTACCAAACACTTCCTACGTGACTTAGGGGCGACTAAGAGGCTATAACATTCTGCCCAATTAATAATTACCACACACATAGCTAAGATCGGAAACTAGTCCAAGGAAACAGGCCCACAAAATTTAAAGAGAGCTATTTCTATGCTCCCAAGTCAAATTATTTGGAAATGATAAACAAAAGAAATTTTCTTTCTAGAATACTAATGTATACTGAAACAGGGACGGAGAAGAGAGGGCTTGAGGTGGATTTACATCTCGGGCACAAATTAAATGAGGCTACTTCTGAATTCATAAATTTTCGGTTTAGGCTCACAGTCATCAAATCCTAAAGTTGTACAGAATTACAGGGTTAAGGGAATGGAAGTGGCTATGATACATTATTCTCCTATCATACCTATGGGCCGAACAATTCAAGAGCAAATGAGGGTTGGATATGTGACTTACATTTCCTTGTAAGCATTCGATTCTAAGATAGTTAAAGAGCAGAAACAGATAATAACATGATACAATATTGTGAATCACAGGTCCTCTAATGGTGTTTCTCTCAAACACTTAAAACACACAAGGAGTTCTCTGAATATACCTCTTCGTATATTATTAACATTCAAGCCTTACATTCAAATGATTTACATGGTACTATTTAAAAGCAATAGCAAATAACTAGAAATACTAATGACTAACTTAGGAAATCTAAACACATTAATGACTACTTCTTAGAAACTTTAAACTCATTAATGTCCACTAACAAATTCCTAAGAGACACACCTCTTCACAAAAAAAAACCTTTCATTTTCTATTTTCTTTTATTCAAATAAAGTTTAAAAACCCAACAAAACTCCTCCTTAAACTTTAATATCTCTACCATCCTTCATTCCCATCTTCTTCTTGCAATTTTCAAACAACAACGTCGGCAGGGGCTTTGTAAAAATATCTCCAACTTGATCTCGGCTTGCAACATGAGTGAGCTCCACTTTTCCTTCTTTGACTTGATCTCGGATGAAATGAAACCTGACATCAATATGCTTACTCCTCTCATGATTTACCGGGTTCCTTGCTAACTCGATTGCAGACTTGTTGTCAACTCGGATTTCGGTTGCGCCGACTTGCCCTTGCTCCAGCTTGCTTAGTAAATTCCTTAGCCATATTGCATGGCAAACACACCAAGATGCCGCAACATACTCGGCTTCACATGTAGACAGGGTCACAATGGGTTTCTTCTTTGACACCCACGTGAAAGCCGTGTTTCCCATGAAAAACACATAGCCAGCCGTGCTCTTTCTATCATCAACATCTCTGCACCAATCACTGTCTGAATAACCTGTCAACTTGTATTTGTCCGACTTCGAGTAATGAAGTCCTTGTGAGATTGTTCCCTTCACATACCTCAGAATTCTCTTAGCCGCCTTCCACTGAGTGTACCCCGGGTCTTCCATAAATCGACTTATGATCCCAACACTCAGACACAGATCCGGCCTCGTACACGTCAAGCACCTCAGACTTCCAACTAGACTTCGGTAGTAACTCGGATCAACTCTCTCTCCTCCATTATACTTTGAAAGTTTCAACCCGGGTTCCATTGGCGTTGAAACGGGTTGCAGTATGTCATTTTAAACTTCTCTAAAATTCCTTTTGCATAGGCTTCCTGAGAGACGAAGATCCCGGATTTGTCTTGTCTGACCTCCAGACCAAGAAAATACCTCATCAGACCGAGATCCGTCATCTCGAACTCCTTCGTCATTTTCTTCTTAAAATCTTGAATCATCCCTTCATCATTACCCAAGAAAATCAGATCATCAACATATAGAGCAACAAGTAGAATTTTACCTCCTTTCTTCTTCACATATAATGCATGTTCATATGGACATTGTTCAAGTCCATCCTTCTTGAAGTAATTGTCAATTCTTGTGTTCCAGGCTCTTGGGGCCTGCTTCAATCCATACAAAGCTTTCTTCAGTCTCAACACTTTTCTTTCTTGTCCGGCTTTCATGAATCCCGGAGGTTGTTCCAGATATACCTCCTCTTCGAGTACTCCATTTAAGAATGCCGACTTCACATCCATCTGATAGATCGGCCATCCGAATTGGGCTGCTTGAGAGATCAACAGCCTGATTGTCTCCATTCTTGCTACGGGTGCGAACACCTCGTCATAATCAATGCCGGCCTTCTGCCTATACCCTTTCGCCACTATCCGGGCTTTGTATCTTTCGATCTCCCCCTTAGCGTTCATTTTCTTCTTGTAGACCCATTTCACACCAATGGGCCGACTTCCTCTGGGCAGCTCGGCTAACTCCCACGTCTTGTTCTTTTCTATCGCCTTTATTTCCTCCTCCATGGCTGATTGCCATTTCTCATCTCGGATTGCTTCTTCAAAGCTTACTTCTTCAGAATCTGCCAACAGACATACCAAGTGTGATTCGCTGGTGGAATCATACAAATCTTGTAGACTCCTCAATCTCGGTTGTCTCTGCTCTTCATCACTATCTGAGTCATTCGGATTCTCAGGAATCCGGGTCGAAGGTTGTCCGACCTCAATTGATTTTAATCCGGGTTCCACATTGACCCTGGATGGACTACTCCAGTCCCATCCATCTTCCTCATTCACTTTTACATCTCGGCTCACCAACACCTTTTTATTGACGGGGTCCAGCAACTTGTACCCCTTCGTCTTCTCATCATAGCCAATAAACACATACTTCTTACTTTTATCTTCTAGCTTTGTCCTCAATTGATCTGGTATGTGTGCATACGCAACACTACCAAAAATCTTGAAATGAGCCACTGATGGCTTTAGACCACTCCATGCTTCTTGTGGAGTTTTATCATTCACACTTGAGTGCGGACATCGGTTTTGCACGTACACGGCACATTGCGCGGCTTCTGCCCAGAACTCCTTTGGCATGTTCTTCGTTTTCAGCATAGATCGGACCATATCCAGGATAGTCCGGTTCTTTCTCTCAGCTACTCCATTCTGCTGGGGCGAGTACGGAGCGGTCAGGAACCGCCTTATCCCATGTTCTTCACAATACTTCTTGAAAGCTGTTGACACGTACTCCCCACCTCGGTCTGAACGGACCGATTTGATGTACCTCCCAGTACCATTCTCTTTCATTACTTTAAAACTCCTGAATGCCTCTAGCACCTCGGATTTTTCCTTCAAAAAATATACCCAAGTCTTTCGACTAAAGTCATCAATAAAAGTTACAAAATATTTCTTACCACTGAAGGACCCCGGAGTAATGGGTCCACACAGGTCGGTATGTATCAACTCCAGAGACTGCCTAGCTCGGTATCTTGCCATCCTTTGGAACGGACTTCTCGCATGTTTTCCCAATACGCAGTCCTCGCAAAATCTTCCTTCAGAATTAATCTTCGGTAGTCCCACTACCATGTTCTTCTTCATCATCTCGGTCAGACCACCATAATGAAGGTGTCCAAACCGTCTATGCCACAAGTCCATCTTATCTTCTACCCCGGCTTGAAGACAGCCGACCTCCATGCTCCTTAGACTCAGCTTGTACATTCTGTTCTTTTCCATCTGAACTCGGGCTATCAGACGCCCTTGTTTGTCTTTCAACAGTAGAACTCGGTCTGTCATTAGAACCGAGTAACCCTTCTCCATCAGCTATCCAATGCTTAATATGTTACTTTTGAGCTCGGGCACGTAATACACGTCCCGGATTGTACCAACTCGTCCATCCTTTTGCAAGAAACAGATCGTACCTCGACCCTTTACTTCAATTTTGGACGCGTCTCCAAAAGAGACATGTCCGGCTTCCACCGTCTTCAACTCCTTAAACAAGTGTTTGTAACCACACATGTGGTTACTGGCACCGGTATCCAAATACCACTCCGTCTCATTCTTTGAACTGGTTTCACCATGGGCTAGCATAAGAACTCCTCCATCTCCTTCTACAGCGAGGTTTGAAGCCTCGTCAACTTTTCTTTCATCTCGGCAATCCTTAGCGAAATGCCCAACTCGGCCACAGTTGTAACACTTGTCCGAGTTGCAATCTCTCGAGTAATGGCCATACTTGCCACACTTGTAACATTCCACATTTGTTTGATTTGACCACCGGCCTCTTCCACCTCGGCCACGTCCTCTTCCTCTCTGACTCGACTCAGCTCTTTCTTCATTTCTCACCTCATGACCTCGGCCACGACCACCTCGGCCATTTCCATGTCCAGCTCGTCCACGACCTCTACCTCAGACATTTTGAGAATAGAGCGCCTTCTCATCTTTAATGTTTGCTTTTGTCTGGAGTGCTTGCTCCAGCGACTCCTCCTTTTTCTTCTTCTTGCGCTGCTCATGCGCCTCAAGGGAACCTGCTAGCTCTTCAACCGAAAGCGTAGCCAAGTCCTTCGACTCCTCAATTGCACATACCACATTTTCGAAGTCGTCGGTCAGCGACCTCAGAATCTTCTCAACAACTCTAGTATCAGATATCTGCTCACCATTCTGCTTTAACTGATTCACCACGGCTTGAACTCGGGTGATGAACTCGGATACACCCTCTGAATCTTTCATCTTCATGCCTTCCAACTCACCACGTAGAGTTTGAAGTCGGACCTGCTTTACTCGGTCAGCACCTTTATAGACATTTTCCAAGATGTCCCATGCTTCCTTAGACGTCGTTACTCCTGCTATCTTCTCAAATCCGGACTCGTCTACAGCTCGGAAAAGCGTGTATAAGGCTGACTTGTCCTTCGCACGCGTCTCTTTCAACGCCTTGGTTTGAGCTGCTGTAAATCATGCAGTGGTTGCAGGTTCAGCAAAACCGTCTTGAACAACATCCCAAGCATCCTGGGATCCGAGCAACGCCTTCATCTGGATACTCCAATTCACGTAATTCGCCTTTGACAGGCGGGGCAACGACATACTGGAAGTGCTCACACTCTCCATAACTCAAGCTCTGATGCCAATTTGTGAATCACAGGTCCTCTAATGGTGTTTCTCTCAAACACTTAAAACACACAAGGAGTTCTCTGAATATACCTCTTCGTATATTATTAACATTCAAGCCTTACATTCAAATGATTTACATGGTACTATTTAAAAGCAATAGCAAATAACTAGAAATACTAATGACTAACTTAGGAAATCTAAACACATTAATGACTACTTCTTAGAAACTTTAAACTCATTAATGTCCACTAACAAATTCCTAAGAGACACACCTCTTCACCAAAAAAACCTTTCATTTTCTATTTTCTTTTATTCAAATAAAGTTTAAAAACCCAACAAATATGACTCTCTTGATTTACATGCAATGGCCGATCAGAAAAATAGAAGAGAAGAGACAAAATACATTTTTAGCATCAGCAATGTTTAACTAGTTTCCATGACCCAAGGACTGGTTCTAATCCTATTAAGGGATTATTTTCCAAGTTCCCTAGACCTCAATTTCGACTTCCAAGTACTCCTTTTTAAGGTTGTTCTCACAGAATTCAAAACATGCAAGGCTGTATATTTTATCTTTCTATCAAAAAGGCGGTCCAACAATTTAGATTGCTATATCACCAAATTCAGCTTTAGATTTGATGCATCAATGCATAAATTCCTAGGGTGACTCAAGGGCAGAATTAATGTCACGGGAATTACCAAAAATAACAGATGCTCCTAACGAACATGAGGGGACCAACTGATAGGAAGAAAAGTAAGGATTACAAGAACTATTTTCCTAACTGCACATGCAATTCGAACAGTGAGATGGAGAGAAGCTTGGGGTCCGAGTTTTACCTTCTTTCAAGCCTCCAATAGTTAGTTATACGGGGGAAAGGAAATCAATCTCACTCTCCAGTCACAACCAGCTGCATGCAAAGGTGGTGTGACTCCATTAAGACAGAATCAAGTTCCAACAAGGGGAAATTTAATCAGAAATCAGTCCAAAGAGAAAAGAACAAGGAGGCAGCGAACAAAATACCCTACCTTTTCCTACTTGAAGCGAACGGTGTGTACAAGAGCAGAAGGAAATGTTGAGCTGCTGTTTCATCTTGCATGTCATCGAGTATTCTCATTCAGCCAATGGGAGGAATGATGAGCAAGGGATGATGAAGAATGAGCTTGTGGTACACTTTCCATGGCTGTTGTGACTCAGCCGAACCAGTGAGTGCAAGGAAAGGGGACGTAGGTGGTAGCTCTCCTCTCACTTAACTCACAGTTTTTGAAGAAGAGAATGCATGTTGGTGGTTCTCCTATGTGTCCTTGCTTGAAACTAACAACGGTGCAGAGGTAATGAGGGAAGAGGGGTGTTGATTTTGATTCTGGTTTAAAGGAATAATTGTTCCTTTTAAGGTGAGGCTTCCCTCTACCATGCGCATCGGAAGAAAAATAAAAAGAAGATAACATGGCTGATTTCTAATCCAAGGGTACAAATTCTGGTCCAAGGTTGCAAGAAAAAAAAAGAAGATAACCCTTGCCCTCATTGGGCGCTAGATAATGATGGGGCTGCCATGGCCAATAGGATTTCATGCAAGGGAATTTCTCTCTTCTTATTGAGTGCCAGGGTTGGTGAGATAAGATAAGTAGGACTTGTCATGTGGCCACCTTTTGACCAATCCATGACAAGTATACAGATTTTGTGAGTTTACTAAATGTTCACTTATCACATGAAATATGTACATATTAATTATATATGTTGATGTATGTAATCAAGGAAGCACGGACACTTGTAAAAACAGGAAGAGTCGGGTCCGACACGCTCCGACACGGCGACACGCTCCGACACGATGTCGGACACGCGGTTGACTTTTTCCGACACGTTGACTATTCCGACACGCGAATTTGACCGTTTCCGACACGGTTAAATGGCATTTTCGTAATTTTTTTTTAATTTTTTTTTTAATAAAGCTTCCACCTTATCATATTAATTTTATCTTTTTGTCTTTTTTCCCTTAAGTAGATAAGAGATCATCTCAGCATCATTGTTGTCAATTCCCATCACGCTCTTGTTGTATCTCTCTCTAATGTGATTTGATCTCTCTATCTGATATTATATCTCTCTCATCCCAGTTCTTATTTTTTTTATTAAAGCTTCCATCTTTATAACGTGTTGATGGGTATTATTAATTTAGTTTCATTTTTTTGTTAAATTATTAAATATTAAATGAAATATACACTATATAAATTAAAAATATTATTTAATATTAAAACGTGTCCCAACGTGTCGAAATCCATAATTTTTTAAGATTGACGTGTCGGAGTGTCGTGTCGTGTCGTGTCACGTGTCGCGTGTCGTATCGGTGCTACATAGTATGTAATTTCATATACCCACTAGTTAATAATTAAAGTTACTACCTATATGGTAATTAAATGTAGTACTTTGCCTCTTTTAACTAGTGTCTTGACTTTTTTTTAAAATATACACATATACTCACTCATCTTATCCACATAAAATTTATTTTCCTTCTCAAATTAATTCCACTCTATACATAGATTTAATCCGAATTTCAAGCATGCTTCACATTCTTAATTATAATTAATCTAAGTTCCTAATTATGCGGGATGTTACACTCTCCCCAGCAAATTTGAAGTTTGTCCCCAAACTTCGTCCTACCATTTCCACTAACTACTCAAGACGAATGCCAAACACACATGCATTCATGCAAGACATTATATCACATACAACCAAGCAGCTATTCAAGTCCATCAATTAATTCAGAGTATTACACATAATTCGTACTTCACAAGTTCATTAGATAATATATACCAAAATCTTACTCGTACGGAAGGAAATAGAAACTTTCCTAAGCTTATTCATAACAAACAATTTTCTGGTTTCTATTTAAACAACGTTAAAGACTATACGGCAACAAAGATGAAGTAAAACCGACCAAGAACTCCAATTATCAATAAATCGTAAAGAAGCTCAGGGTTTTGGGGCATACTTAGGAGGCAACTAAACAGATCTATTTGCGCAATAATTCTGCATTATATGAATTCTATGTTTGATGGTTGACAGAAACAAAAACAACCACCTATGTCTTCTACCTTCATGATCTCCGTTAATGCCCAAAGAAATCCTATTCTAGTGTTCAACAAGATGTGAACCCGGTCCCATGCCGGCACATAGTTGTGAATATCTCCTACTATTATAATTTTATGTTTCTTGTTTCTTATGGATGTCCATATCAATAACATGCCATTCACTTATTTATTCACCGGCTATACTTATTCTACTGAAAATGCATGTAATTACCTACAAGATGACCCTAAAATTTTATGCATTATAAGTTGAGGGTCACAATTCAGTTCACCAGGTTATGTCACAATGGATAACACAAACAAAGTTTTACAACCCCGAATTAGACAAATTTTAAAATAACTAGATGTACTTGCCTATTACTCATGCAGACAAAAGACTAATTAACTAGAACCATCGATAACAGTTATTTTATCTTTGCAGTTTACATGTTCCAATTTAGTTTTCGCCCACTTCCTACTTACTCCCTACATATGAAAAGAATTCAATTCTATAAACACTTCACAACTAATCACCTGACTTGACAAACATCATGAGTAGAATTTCACAATTGAATAGTCCACAGAAAATCAAGTAAGTAAAAAGAATGCATTATATTCCAACTTACAATGTAGAAGAGTATTCGTAAAATCACAAACTTTCATCACAGACAGAATTTCAATAAATGTTTTTGTTTTCTAAAGATCTTAAGCCATCACTATTGAGGTACAAAATTTTAACAGCATCAATTAAGTTAACATCACATTATTTGCTACTATCTTGCGGAAACGGAATTACATTAATGAGTACTACTTTTGTCTAGAGCTTAGGTGTAACACCCTCCCTTGTATGCATCAAAGAGAGTTGTTTGCTAAGCGGAATTAGAGTTTTTTTTTGACGTCATTGCTTTGATACTGAAAAATCATTTTGATGTTGCTAATTAAAACTTATAATTGAAATCGAGTCACTTACAAAAATCAGAGTGCACTTTCAAAATTTCTTAACTTGCTGAAAATATTATTGTCCTGGCAGACGTTGCTGTCTTGAAAAATTCGTATAAAATCAAGTTCAACGATCCACAAAAATATTCTTTGTAATATAGAAAGAGCACGTCTGGGACTTCGCGTGCATATAAAATAATAGCAAATCGGAGGTCGTTCGCCCCTCGAAACATAACTCGCAAAGTGCTCGCGAAACTGTTTATAAATCAGCACTAAATAAACGTTCAGAAATTATTTTGGCAAAACGTTTTCAGAATTTCTCCAAAGTAATAGATAATCATAAAAGTCTCACAACAGTAATAAAATCATGGTTCCAACAATAGTCTAAGGTTCTCCACACAACAATAGTACAGTCATCCAACATCATCCAACAGACAAAATTACATCAAGTCCAAACAACAGCAATTAATAGTAAATATCCAAATAATCCATGTCCTCATATGCTCTTTCGTCCTCCTGGAATTTTATAAAAATTACAGCCCCAAAGGGGTGAGAAAAATCCCAGTAGTGTGATAACAAAACCAATAATGCAACAATATTAAACTAGGCACAAAATTATAAACAGTCACATCAACATTTCATTTTCCGTTAACATATCATAGTGCGTATATAACACCATCATTACGCTCATAGCACCTTCGTGCGCGTACTAACATATCATTAGTGCGTATATAACACCATCATTACGCTCATAGCACCGTCGTGCGCGTACATAAACAGTGGATATTCATAATGGCTCCCTCAAAGGTGAATTCCAAATGTGACCTATGCGGACGGAAGCCAAGTGTCCCATACCCTGGTACTGAAGAGATGTCTATATGATGCGTGCTCAATCGTATGCATATTTATATAAATATTCTAATCCATGAACAACATGAAATTCGTGCATGTATGCCATGATATGCTTCACACACAACAAGAAACAAATGCATTATGAGGTGTATATGCATGACTAGATCATCATCATAATAGCATATCTTTCATGTACTTTCCGTACCAAGCTGCCACATAACAGTTACTTCTCATTCATGATTTTCCATCTTGTCACATTCATAGGCAGCATATATATATATATATAACATATAACAGCACATTAATCCAAGGCACATATCAGCAACAATTCACAATTCTATACGCTAGCTACTAGTGACATTAGGTAATACCACCAAACACTTACTTGGCGTGCCCAAATATAAATCAAACAGCAGCAAACTCAGTCCACACTCAAAGGTTATGTGCACCTAATCAAGCAAGAAAACCAGGCAGAATTTTAAACATTGGTTCTTATAATTTTCAAGTAGTAGCCAGGTCTATAAGCTTTAGCATTTTGCATGGTTCTATGAGTCTTTTGCTTACTAACTTTTCTTACTCCTAGTCCTCTTTCCTAATTTGTCAACAACAGTAAAACCCAAGGTTCATTTGAATAACATTAATTTCGTGACTTAGGCAGGATTCAATAGCCTCTTAAGGTGCTGCCCACAAGGTTTAAACATGTGTAATTTTATTGACTTGCTTTCCAATACAGCGAGCAGCCCAGCAACTCAGGGGGTCATTTTTTCCAAGTCCATCAAGTTAATTTCAAAGCCCTCAAACACTAAATTATATACTGCCAATTAATAGTAAGCCGCTACAAAATCCCAAGGTTCTTTTATATATACCAATTCGGTCCTGCCCAATAATTAAGTGCCACTCATTTATCATTTAAGTAACCATGTTTACAAGGTTTAGAGGGTACCAATGATGCACACAACATGCCTTCTTTATAATTTATTTCTCATATGCAAAGTTAGACCAATGACTAAGTTTAACGAAACAGTCTCCAATTTTCAAGAGTTATTATTACATATATATTTTTCTAATAATTTACTGACCTCAAATAAGTATTATCAACGTGTACAGCGGAAATTTCAACACATACAGAATCAATTTAGGCTAGCAACTAGGAGTCATAATTTGTTCATTTATCTAACCACTTTTACAAAACCTAAGGCGTGCTAAGGGATTTATGAACATGCTGTACACCAAAGTTTAATACATGAAAAGACCTACTAATTTTGGTTAATCAAGTAGACAGTCCAACTAAATAAAAAGGGCCATTCCTCCAATTTTCACACAATTCAGCGTTGGGTTTTATATGAATTACATTTAAGCTGTTTCAAGGGGCAGAGTTAGGGAAAGAACATATTCACGCTAGAGTATTTTCCTAGCCTGCAAGAGGAAGCCGAAATAAGAGAGCAAGAAGTAAGGGTGACCAAACAGTTATCCTCTTACATTACACAAGTAAACCGAGGCAGTGAAGAAAAGAGGAAGCTTGGGGTTGGGATTTTACCTTCAAGCAAGTATTCAAGGCTAGCCATTCAGTCACGGAGCAGCCACCTCCCTCTTCCAAAACTCCAAGAAGTTGGTTTCAGTCGCTTGTCATGGAAAAGACGATCCAATCAAAGCAGAGTTATACACATGCAAAGAGAAAGAACTCAAGTGGGACTGATCAAATTCGTGAGGAGCAAAGCGCTGCCAGAAATTACCTCACCTTCTAGGGAGTTGCTCTCAGCTGAACAAGGAGGAAGTGAGGGAAAAGGCTTGTGACTCTGAACCATGGGGAAGGACAAGCGGTCAAATTAATTTGTGTCCTTTTCCTTGATTTGCCATTCGCACAAGATGAAGGGATGGAATGGTTGTGCGCTGTTTTCTTGGTCAGAAGAAGTACATGTATTTCTGGTCTGTGTCCTTAAGGGGTCAAATTAATTTGTGTACATGTAGTTCTCGCTCAAAAATGGGGGAGGTTGAGGGCCATGTTTTCTGCCTGAATCTAGAAGGTATTAACCAGTTTAGTTCTCCCTTTCAATGCGCAAGAAAGAACGGATGGCGTGACTTGTTGGTTTGGAAATTAGGCACCCACTTCAAATATGGTCCGTCCTCTGCCCAGCGCTCAAGGGAAACAAGGGAGATGATGTTTAAGCTTGTTGGTAATTAAACTTAATGGCTGACCAGAAAAGAATTTAGCTTGGTCATGCCGTTCTAGGCGCACAAGAGAAAAGAAGTGGTGAGGATTAGCGTTTCTGGTTTGCTACCCATTGTCATGCCCAAAGAAGAAGGAGGAGTAAAATTTAATTAGCATTCTGAATTGATAACCAAGGCCACAACCTATGCCTCTCTCATCAGCGCTCTAGACGATTGATTTGGATGAGGGGGGAATTTTCAGCCAATAGGACTACAGACATAAGGAATGGACCAATAAGAATTCATGCATGTTGATTTCCTTTTAAGATAACCAATGGATAGCTAATTTATCTTCCTATGACTCCTAAATTTCATGTAATTACTAAGTATCTTATAGGGTTTTATTAGGAGATGTAATTTAAAAATTAAACCTATCCCATATCTACATGGTTCAATTTCATTGTATGACCCCACACTCTATTTGCAATTTAAATAATGTCTTAACAATTATCCTCCCACGTGATCACTAGGTAATAGTCAATGTTTCTACATACAAGGTAATTAAAAGTATTAAAATTCAAAATTAACCTATCCTATCCTCTTCACTAGTACTTCAATTTCCCAAAGTACTTACTCGCTCAAGATTATAATTCACATAAATTTTATGGATTAAAATAAGTCTACCCTAAATATATATATATATATATATATATATATCGAGTTCTAAGAAAGCCTTTTTGTTCCTAACTACAATTTATATAATTTCCTAAATTAGTGGGATGTTACATTAGGGTTTAGGGGACACCTCTAATTAAACTCTAACTATGAAGCTGAATTAAGGGCACGAGTAAGGATACCTAGATTCCAAGATACTAACTTCTAATTGCCATGATTACAAGAGATGTTAGGCTTGCTTGTTTATTATGTAGCTACTGTCTAATATTTTTCTAAAATCAAATGTAACCAAATCTATCCTTTTACAACGTACCAAACAAATTAGGATACCAAGCAGTCATGTATGCAGTAAATTAATTCTAGCATGCTCTTCGTACATAGCACATATGGTGGTACCTCTCATACAGTTCGTCAAAACACCCATATGAGGAAACCTCCTCGAGCTTTCCGCTGTCCTAGGTACCTCAGATGTAATTGACTCCACTAATCAGAGGATCCATTAACTATAATATGAACTTTCCAATCATTACACACAACACAATTTAAACATCTACCAATCATAATCCATCACAAAAACCAGGCTTTCATAATTCACATGCACAATAACCACATTCAACATCTTAATTGTAGTTAAACATCCCTTTAGAGTGGCAAATAATAATAAAAAAATATAGTCACTGACGAAGCTATACTTTTCACAACAAACCCGGTTATAATACTCTTCCTAGCATGTACTACACATCAAATTCATTTTCCAACAGAAAAGAGAGTTCCTAAATTCAAATACTCAAAACAAAAGGGTTAACACACCAGACTCCCAAATTACAAGAGTTTTCATGAAGCAGTTAGACTAAAACAGCACATAGGCATTAAGATCATGAAACACATATAATTTATTGAGCACAACACCCAAGCCGATTTGAACGAAGCATTACTACTATAGGGTTCACATTCTAGACGGTTAAAACAATTTAAGCAATTCATAAACTCAAGTTCTGATATTTACCAAAAATTCAATTTCAAATACTTCTTTTTAATTGCTACACCCAACAAACTGATACCCAAAGCTAATAATATATTTTCATAATTTCAATTTATCAAACCGAAGACTCCTCATTAAATTTCTATCCCGACAAGCCAATACCAAATAAAGTTTTCATGTATTTAATTTATCAAACAGAAATCACTCACTCTTAATACAACTTAAACATCAATTCATTACTACGTCCACTTATATGGTTCTACAATTTTAGTTTGCTTGTTCCAATTAATCAAGTCATTCCATGGTTAACTTCCTACACAATTTCAAGCATAAGTACCAAAACCACCAAACAAAACTTTTTCATTAATTGATTCTCGTTGTTTGACAGTTTGATACTACCGTGTTACCAAAGAATGTGTTGGCCAGACCCATTCCCAGTCACAGCTGGAGTATCACCTCATCACACACTGGGAATCGGCAAATTCCATACTTCATTATTTATTCTTCATTCAGGCCTTATTCAAGTACAATCTACCACGCATCAGACTTCTCTCATGAGGAGGTTTTCGCGTCTCATAAATACTAATTCTACTTTCGTCATGCCAAGCAACGAGTGGATCCTACTCACTGCATAACATGCACGACAGTAGTTTCAAGATTGAGACACGGTTCCCACTTCAGGATAGAATCTCAAATAATTCATTATACAACTAGACAACTCAAACATTTCAATTCAACTATAACACAGTACAATCAGACACTTCTTGCACAGTTGAGTGACAGCAACCATTCAAGTCAAATATTTCAATGCATAATGTGGACAACACAACCGAACGGAGCACAAAATAATACAGTACATAGTATTCAACGACTCGAACAACAACTCTAAAATCAACTGCAATACAGATCAAACTCAATTTCTAAACCAGACTATACATATTTCTGCACAACTGATCTCTACTTATCAAGTCAACAACAAAGTAAATCCATACAATACTGTCTACATCCCAGAAAACCAAACAGTATCTCACACAATTCTCAAGAATTAAAACCGCTCCAAGTAATAAATTTCAAACTGCTTTAAGTAATCAATGCCACAAAGTGATTTCAAAATATCTCGGGATAATTCTAATATTTCAATTATACTAACTTTCACAATTCAATAGAATAATTCAGCACATGCCAGTCGTAATTCAGACAGTCCAATAATTTAGTCCTAACATCCGGCATCCAGCAAACAGTTCAACAGCTAACTCAAACAGCAATGATTAAACATACTCATACGAACATCAATGATTAACAAACAGCAACCAATACAACAATCATACCCAAACACCTTGAATCAAAACTGCTCTGATACCACTTGTAACGCCTAACAACTTGCAAGGATCAACGACTGTCCCCACACACTAACATGAGACTTTTCAGCGTGCTTTTTCCTTACTCGCACACATGCCGGGAAAACTTTTCAGGAGGTCACCCATCCCAGAATTGGCCCAAATCAAGGCACGCTTAACTATGGAGTTCTTCCGTTCTGGGCTACCAAAAAGTAAAGGCATCTTGTTAGTATAGATAGTACCAATTAATTCTTATAAGTTATTCCCAACTCTACCGTCCTATACCAGCACAATCTCTGGAATCCCTCTCTTTCGGGTGTTGATTCGATTCATTCATGAACCCCCAAACTGCAAGATTTGGCATGAGCCGCTCATTGTTCGTGCCCTTTCGCACCGGCGATCACTCCTTGCCCTTGCCAGCTCTTGGGATTTTACATGCCCACCAGCTTGCGCCTGGTTCGTCCTCGAACCACACCGTACTGGAAGAGAGGCCCTGCTCTAATACCACCTGTTTTTGCGAGCACTTTGCGAGTTGTCGTTCTGGGGCTACAGACCTCCGATTAAGGTATATTTTATATGGATGTAAAGCCCCAGTTGTGTAATTTCAGATTATATAAACTTTACAATGAAATAATGAAATCCCGATTTATTCTGATTTTTACAAGTCAGGAGGTTTTTAGAAAAATACAATGAATTTCGAGTATTTTACGAGTTCTATTTCGTGGGGCTATTCACCTCTGATTCGCGTATAATTTATATGTACGTGAAGCCCCAGATGTCTACTTTCTATATATCAAAGAATATTTTTTAAGCTGTTGATTTCGAATTTACATTATTTTTGCAAAATAGGCTGTTTTCAAGAAAATCAGAGTTGCACAGCAAAAGCCTTTTAAAAATATATTTGCTGTTTTTACTTTTCAAAGTCAGTTTTCTAGGCAAGCTTTTATAATTGGTAATATGAAAAAGTTTTTACTGAACATGAATTTTTACTCGTTAACAATTCGACTCTAATCCGCTTAGCAGACAACTCCCTTGGACGCGTACAGGGGAGGGTGTCACAAATACTATCATATTAATTTGGTCGATTCAGTTTCACAACTCCGGATCAGTATTTACAATTAAATCGTCAAACACTGGGTCACATGTAAATTTTTTTAAGCTACATGATTCGGTTTTCCTGTAGAGTGACTTAAAACTGAAATTGTTGAGCAGTGCATTGTGCTTGGTCGCTGACTTAATTTGTTTGAGCATACACTGTTAAAGTAGTGTCTGAAATACACTTGCTATTCCTTGGCTGGCTAAAGTGAATTGAAAGAAAGTTATGTTTTTATTAAATACTCTGCACCTGACGTTTAGGTGGTTCAAACTGTCTTGATTGGTACGTTTTGTTTGAGCCATAACACAAATTTACTAAGTGATGTTCATCATTCCCTAATTGTGCTGCACAGTATCTGAATATACATATAATTTTTTTTGCCATAAATACCGATCCTTAAATTTGCATCTATCCATTATATGATCTGATTGAATTATTAACGGGGAAATAGTGAATCCATAATTTTCTTGTTCTATGTTAAATTCTGGGATAAACCATTCTCTTGATTTAATTGCATGTGTGTTCAAACTTCTAGATATAAATTAATATGAGTCTTATCTACTTTTTGTTCATGTTTGTTGGGAACATTTAATTGTTATGGAGATGCCCCTATAGCTAGTTACTAGTTAGAACTTTCCTGTTATACTTGCATCGTTACTTGGACATCTAACATAAAGGCTGAGTATATGATATAAAAGTTGAATTTAACGTGAGCACCTTGATGATATTTAATTGCTATTTAAAAGGCATAAGATTCAATCTTTAACTTGGATACACTGTTGTAAATCCCATGCTTAAAAGTTTGATATTTGTTTTGCAAACATCATAATATATTGTTATTATTTTGAGAAGTCCTCATTGAATAGATGTATTGCTGCTTGTATGGATGGGATTAGCCCTATGTTTAAGGGACTTTGGATTTGGTGTGTTCATGCATGAGGTCTTGTACCGTACTTTTGGTTTGTCACTCTAAATAGAAATTTAACTACAACCAGGATTTTGAAAGCGATTATTGTGAACTTGAATTATGAAAGCATGGTCTATGTTAGTGGATTAAGTTTTGCAGTTGTTGCAAAATTGTAATGTGTGT